CTGAAACTCTTAAAGGATCGATCGGTTGTCTGTCTGTCTCTCACCGTCGATTAGCTCAGAATCTACTGGACCGATCAAGTACATAGGTGTCAATGTCTGTGACCCAAATACGGACGAATAAAGTAAATAAATAAATTGAAAAATGTGTGTTACTTTTGGAAGGTGAGTACTATTAAATATTTAGCTAACTTTACCGTTTCTTATATCAAATGAAAGGGCTATGTGAAAGTTTTAAACATATAGTTTTTACAAATGTAAAATGAACATTTTAAAATTATGTATTTAAGAAAATTAGTAGATAACAGGAAAATTACTGGGCTGGGCTGGGGCAACTCACAACTACATACTATGCGGTCTCAAACTATAAACTAATTGTACTATTGAAACTAAATAACGTTTTTATAACCATATTCATCTAAAATATTGCCAGGACGAGACCGTATGACTCGCACTATCAAAAAGTTAGCAGATTTCATGTTGAGCCAAACTTCTAACTCTACAAGGCCTAACTTCACAAACTCTACACCTTGATTGGCCATTCCATTTCTGTTATACAATAGTTCTTGTAGTAACGTACCCAAGTTATAAAAAAACTAGCAAACCAGTGAACCAAATGTTCACCAAAACCTGATTTAAAAAATGTATTTAATTAATTGAGAACTTCGGAGATTTTGTGTGATTTCGTTTGATATTATTTAGTTAAAAAAAAAAAACTTTAAATAGTTAATTAAAATTGTGATAATTACAAAATAGAAATCACGTGATTTCTCGAAAACCGGAAGTGCTACGTTACTGAAATCCGGTTTGTAATCTTATCAGACTATTCTTAACTTATAACTTAAATATTCTCTTTATCTATCTCTTACGGTTTGGCCGCTGAAACAGCACCACAGACAGACGGACGGACTTGTCTAATAGATAAGAGATGACGAAGCGCTTCGATATAAGACAGGTAGTGCCCTTGCGCTTCACTTGGCTCGTATTGTCGTGTTAGCTGTACCGTGCCCCTAGATACAAATAATATAATTAAACAACCATGACTCGAGAGCAAACATTTAAGGTCATCACACAAAGAAATGCCTCAACTTGGATTCCAACCCACGACCATTCGGAGCATAAAGCTTTCTTAAAAGTCTCTTCGGTGGTGTCGTATGAGGCGGGTCGTTACGTTCCCTAAAATATAGTTGAGCGGAGCGATGTCTGGATCATGCATCATGCTCGTGAACGGGTGCTGCCAGCGGAGATGAGTCTGCCCTAACTACTTTGATATTTAAGATGTAAATGTTTAATTACACCTATTATAAATAACTCTGTTTGTATTTATACTGTGTGACACAGCAATCAAAATACAGGAGAACAATTAATGTATAATTTCACATTATGTAATGAAAGGTGACATCATGAATCATCTCTGAAGTCATTTTTCAACTTGACGACTCTGTAAATGATAAAACAGGGAGAAAAACACAGCCCTTGCTGAGTTTCTTGCCGGTTCTTCTCAGTACAAGGTCTCCCGCCGTAGATTTATGTACCGATGGCGTAGCTTTTAGACATTCATATGTGCTTGTAACGGCCTAAACTGAATAAATGATTTTGATTATTGATTATTCAGAAGCGCTGCCGCTGAGTCGATCGTCACACTAGAAGCTAAGGCTTTTTCGCTCGTTTCATAATAATAATCGAAAAACTCACGTAACAGTGAAATCGTATCATGGATTCATCGACGTATTATAACAACAGAGAATATATTTTCACCAACAATTTAACGGTTGGGAAAGCAGGAACGAATACAATATGCAAATTGCGTTAATTAAGCGACCCTGTTCGAGATAACGATATTCCTATCATTTTGTAAATTGAAATATGAAATCATCATAATAATATAGTGTTATTGGTACACCATAAAAAGAGGATTACGTGCGATTCAGGATCGTAATTCCATTGACTACATATAGTTTTTTTTTTGCAAAAAACGCTAACTGAGAAAATTAAAATTCTCTTGTTGGGTACGGAAGTTCTAGAATCTACTATTAGAGCAGACATAGATCATAATGGACGGAACTACGAGTATATGTTCGAAGTGTAACATTGAGTCAAGCAGCCTTAGAATAACAAAATATTATTATTAACAATAAAATTTGTAAAGTATTTTTCGGTTTGAAAAGAAAAGTGTGTAATTCCATTTAGTAAAATGTGATATTTAAAAAGTATTTCCTTGAGCTTGTTAATTTTCAGTTTTCCGTTGTGGTTAGGTGTTTATGAGCATTCCGCAGCTTTGATACAAAGGGAAACCTGAAAGATCACGCAGACTTTCCAACCGGAATGTTTGAGAGTGAGTTTAAATCGTGAAACAATTTTGGAAACGCTTTTGCATTATATTTGTCTCGGAATGAAAAAGAACTTAAAAATAAATTACATTCGCCTCTAACCATATCACAGATTTACCAAATTCCTATACGGTAAAAACTCTTTATCTAAATTATAGTAATTAATGTTATATACGGTATTGTTACCGTGTACCTTGTTTTTAGCGAGTTTCCGATATTTCGGTACTGTTGCTGGCGCCATGATAACGGTATAGACAGTTTCTATGGTACATACTCGTACATATGAACATAAATTAATTAGTGACCATGAAAGTTTAAAACGATATATTATCTTTATCTAAGGAGTCCTTCTATCCACGTAGCCTACGGTATGCGCAGACATGTTAAACTTTTTTGCAATGTTGTTACCTATACTAAGTTTATATATTCTTTTTGATTTTTTATGATCTGCACGCCGTGCATTGCACGGATAATAGTTTTTAACTGAAATTCCAAAAGAAGTGTAACTTGTCTGCTACATACCTAATCCCCAGACTAAATATTTACGTCTACCAAATACTACCTAGTTCTTGAATTTGTCTATACATATATGGCCAGTATTATTTTAAAATGAAAAATTGGAGTTAGAAAGAGAGAGATTAGTGAAAATAAACAAATCTAACGTATATTCTGTATGAAAATAACATGTTTGTTTCAAAAAAAAATACTAGAAAAACGGGAAAGACGGGTTTTGAACTCGTGTCCTTAGCATCGCTAACTGGGCGCGATGCGGGTTCGAATCCCGTTTGAAAAGTGGACGGAGTGGAATATTTTCTAGTCAAATTTTCTTTAGATTTAAACATCCAGCAGTTAAATAAATAAATAAATATTTCCAACACTCACATCACTTAGCCTAGCCCCAAAGTAAGCACTGTATGCTTGTGTTATAAGATACTAGGGTAACGGATAGAATACATATAGTAATGCATATATATGGATATTTAATTAGAAATACATAAAATGCTTAAAATGAAATTATAATCATATTTGTTTAAGGTTTAATTTTGATGATAACACACCTTTATGAACAATCTCATGGCATTTAACATACTCATATTTAACGTTTTACTTTAGGTTTATAGCTGCAGTTTGGCTTTGGTTTTATGTTGAAATTCGAAGGAGCGATCAGTTTCTTACAATATTACAATTTCACCATGGTAATTAGGGCAGCATCGCAGAATTTCAATTCCCCATACAGCGAATGTATCGAATTCAAAATGACAATAACCGATGAACTGCAAGAGACACCTCGTTACACTGTGGCATCCAGTGAAATATTCCGAATAGTCAAAATTCTTGTACCTATTCCCACTAGTTCAATTTTGAGCTGAGCACGTTCATTCGCCGCATAGTTGCCAAGTAACTATGTAACTTCAGCTTTAGTAATGGAATATTTCATGCTAACAAGAGCAAAGTTTACGGTTTTGCATTGAAGTTCCTGTTTGTACCTTTTGTTGTCTGTTCAAAATTCCTGTGCAATTGTACTCGAGATTTATTGAGGTGAAAAGTAAACTCGATGTCGCAGTGTATATTGTATTCGGTATGCGATTGTAAAGCGTATTGGCAAGCAAAGGCCAACCAACGAATAGACAGCATATTTCTCTTGTTTTGTTATCGCTCGGTGTCGCATGCCTAATTTACCGAGTAAAGGGAACCGCCAACTTATATAGACTTCATTTGGCGTCCTTTGTCTGTACTCGCTGCCGCTTGCCAACATTTGTCTCATGTCCACCATAATAACTAATAGCGCATCAACGTATGGGCAGCTCCACAAAGCGTGTCTATATTGGCAACTTGCATTGGTCATCTTCCAACTTGTCCAACGTCTAGACAGTAGCACTTGCCTTGTATCTGTTTGCTTACTCTCGTGTTGGGTTAAGGTCAGCTAAAGTGTATTGGCAGCTTAAAAGTTTAGCAACTTGCGCAACAATGGTGACCAAAAACGTTTGACACGATTTGAAAAGAATGTTCGAGTTGTTGGTCCCGGCTGAACTTGCAGTCATTGGCACGCACAACAGTGGACTTCCGTGATAAGGCACCTTGCGCTAGATGGCTACCACCAGTGGCTTGCGGCTACTGGACCAGATTTACTTAAGAATCCATATGCACATCGCGCACTTTGCCGCAGAAGCCAACTAGCCGAGCACCGGGCCGGTTCGTCTTGTTGTTGCGGCCAACTTGCGTATAGTTTGCTATGAGCGCTCGCATGCGGCCAGGCCGTGACCAGCTATTCTCAGTGTCATGCGGACATTTGCTTCATATCATTCCGGAACTCATTACGACGATGTTTTTTTGCAATAAGTTTTGACATGGAGTTAATAAAATTAACGACCAGCAATATGGCTACTTTAGGGCTTATAGTGGCTGTGGTCGCCTTGACCGTAGCCCAACCATAGCTTCTGGCGCCAAAGTTGCGGACACGGCCACGGCTGGCCATGGTCATGGCTCGTTCCCCCTATATCGTTCATAGAAAAAGCCTGTATGCCAATTGGACGATGATGGTAATCTGATTAACATAGGAAATTACCAAGCAGTGTGCTTACAATTTCTTCATGAAATCAGCCATGAGTCTCTCAGTCATCTCATTATAGTAAAAAGTAAAAAAAAATGTAAAGATAATCAAATATTTCTCACCTATCACTGTGCTGCACTTTGCCGATGTTATCCATAGTTGACGCAGAAGAAACAACTAATGCTGAAACAAAACAAAAATACATCTTAATTATTCATGTAATCTATCTAGAATAACTTCTAATTCATTGGGTACATAGTAAAAAATAAAGTCCATTTTGGCGGCTGTGTCTACAGACGCTTTTTAATTCAAAGTTAAAACTTATAAAATTAAAAAAAAAACTAATTCAAAGTTGTCATTTTAAGCCATTTTATTACGCGGTCTATCTTAAAATCAAAACTAGTTAAGAATGTGAACTTTTATTTAAAGGATGTCTCATATGCTATGTCCAATTTAAACAAACAGTTCTGAAAACGCTGATTCATTAAAGTTCTTTGTAAGTTGTGATGAAAATAAACAAACCGACTCTCACTCGGCCATTTTTTTTACTAATTTCGTGCCGCTACTAAAACTGTCTATAAATAAAATTGAGCAGTTCTTTTTTATTTTTTTACTAAGTTTGGCATTAATTCATTCACTCAAAATCAAAACTAACGCAAGCGAAGCTGCGGGCAAAAACTAGTTTTCCTTACTCTATTATTTAGCAGAGATACTATTTTCTCGTACAAATTGACAACGAGCGCCATCTATATTTTATTTCCCTCTCCCAGCTTCCAAAGTCGTAAGTGCTTAAATCAAAGTTTCGTGAGCAACATTACAGTATTACTTACGAATATACTAAGGCAGAATGTTCAAAAAATAAGGGCTGAAATTTCCTCTGAAGCCTTGACGACACATACCGGAAGCATAAAAGCTTTATCTAGGTTACATCTCTGTACTTCCATTGAGCATGTTAGAAAGCTGCTTTCGCATCTCAAAGAGGAGCTAGGACTCTTTTGAAATTTCGTAAACGCGTACGTGAGATTTTCGGGCGCTATTAGAGAGGTGCCGAGTCAAGCTGTCTCGAATACTGACTCGAACACCTAGCAGGTACTCACGTACTCGAGTACTCGAAATATGGTATTCGAATACTCAGTCGTTATACAAGTACAGTGAAGTTAGTAACGTGATTTGAACGTGTTTATGTTTCCTACTCGGCCGATCAGTTAAATGAGATGTTAACATTAGTTTAATTACATATTTGTTTCTTATAAGTAATTATCTATTTTAATTAGTCGAACTCTCGGTTACCAGTTTAACTGTTGAATTTAAGCCATTGAACATTATGTTCTAAAATCAAATCAAATAGCGCGCGCTTTTGCTACTTCCTGTTACACACTTCCGTTTCATTACACGAAATCACTCCCACAAATTGCAGGAAAGCGAGAGGAAAGATGTCACACATCAAAAAGTAAGCAAAATGAAAACGAAAGCATGGATGAGAGTTCTGATTTGGACTTGGAGTCATTAGACTTAATAGTATCGTCATGGAACTTATTAATTAATAAATGACTGATTATATATTTAATCTATTATTACTAACATATTTTCCTATCATTCATATAATATGATTTTTAATGATGATGATGAAGCAAATTTCAAGATCCGATTCAAAAAATACTCGAGATCAGTAAAGTATTCGAATACTCGTGCTAGTACTCGAATACCTATCCGAGTCTTCCGACTCGAGTCCTAATTCAAATCTTTTTTTAACGAGTACTAAAATACCTGAATACCAAAAATAACCGATTTGGCACTTCACTAGGCGCTATACCTAGGGATGGAAACGATACATCGATGTTAGTAAAACATCGAGGTATCGGTCATAAATATCGATGTTAACATCGATGTTTTGATGAGCGATATATCATCGATACATCGTTTACTACATTCAAAAACATCGACATCGTTCTTGTCTGTTCGGATTTTCGGAATCACTGTGACGTTCGCTCGTACTGCATTGTTGTGCTGACACGTAAAGCGTGGATGAATTTGATTAAATATAATTTGATTCTTTGACTACATACCTACACACAATTTAGATTTCTTGATTGGGTGAGTAATTTACTCCTTGAATTAATTTATAAAGTAGTTAAGATTTGATGGTTTGTTTTTTCTTTAGGTTTTTGCTGGCGGGTACTTGAAAATTGAGCGTATAATTTTAAGGTTAAAAAAAAATAAAAAACGAATACCTTGTTGATTAAAGCAGTATGTGAACCGACAGTTCATATTAATTTGTTTATTTGCCTAATTGAATGATGAGAATCATTTTGTTATGATTTAATTTACCATCATGTAATTCTTATTTTTATTAACTTTTAAGCATCGAGCATACTTATACCGAATAGAGCGGTATTGTTAATTGTTTCAATGACGCATCCTATTAAAAATAAAAAAAACATCGGCAAAAACATCGATATATCGCTCTTATTAACGATATTTTTGTACATCGATGTTTTTCATGCAAATATCGATGTTTTAAAATATCGATGTTTTTCAGAACGATGTTGCATCCCTAGCTATACCCGCCTTAGTATGTTGTTATTGAGAAATAAAATAATCTTATAGGCACAATGTTCCTCTATTCTGAACTAGGAATAATTGAAAACACATATTTTAATTATTTATGTTATCATTCAGGTACATCAACAGCACATAATCCCCATACTTTCATACTAATTATAAATACAAAAGTGTGTCAGTCTGTCTGACTGTTACCTCTTCACGTTTGTACCGCTGAACCGGTTAAGGTGAAAGGACATTGTTCAGCGTCCATACATAGTTAGCCTAAGAACGAACAATCATGAAATATTATTTTCTAGGTTCGAAATCGTAAGTAAATGACTGTAAAAACAAAGATTATTGACAGACACTTCTGAGAACTTAAATTATTAGGAAAACTAAATGCTTTTTGAGGTTATATTTAATATTCAATGAAACATAGGTCAACCCAGGTTAACCTATGAACTTAGTATGAAGTGAATTTATATTACAACTAATTCATTTTATTCGGTGCTATTTTAAAGAATAACTATTAGGAAAACCTTGGATATGTAGGAATCATGAATAAAATAAAAACTGTAGTTTTGCTTATTATTTATTGACTATTTTTCAAATAATTGTACCATAATGTATATGGTATTTATTTGTATATCATATGTATATTGTGTAAAAATGCAGCGTGAATGTGTATCAGGTGTTCTTGAATAATTTGATCCTCTCAGGATGTTGTGGCACAGGTTCACTAGCACTTGGTAATAAGGTCTCTGCTCTTTGGTAACATCGATGGCATATTAGATAGCCGAAATAGTTAAATTAAAGGAAAATCAATCGCAAATAAACACACACAACAGGTAATCCGAAACGAGAATGCACTTTCCTGTTTAATAAACTATTCTTTGGAATGCACGAATGCCACAGATTACTACGAATGCAAACTGCTTGCTTGCATCACCACCACAGAGTATCTACTTATATGCCAGCCCTTCACTTGACAACAGTTTGTCCTTGTCATGCTTTATAAGGAAGTAAAAATTACTAAAATGGTATTTATTGTCTCAGATTATTTTTTAACTTTTTAATTTAGCTTACTTAACTGGAAGTGTCCATCACAATCTAAATACTGATAATTATCCTAAAAAATACATTAAGAATTATCATAAATGCCAAATTGGTGTTGGTTCTTAGGCCAATTTTAACATTGTCCTTTGGTAACTCAATAATTGGAGTTGTGCGAAAGGATACAAAATAGTTTCTGAATCCAGAAATCATCCAATCCTTAACTATGTAAAACGGGGGGGGGGGGGGGGGCGGAGATTTGTAAGGGGTATCGGTTAAAAAGGACAATAAGCCTTTGTTATAAGTTTGTGAAAACTTTTAATATAATGTTAGATCTGATTATTGTTTGGATTACATAAAAATATTGTTACCCACTTTATATTCGTGCAAACGTCAGACTGTGTTTTATTTGTAAAAGTGTTTACTGCTCACAACTTAAGAGCTTTTTCAGAGAAGAAATACAATGTTCCTTTGCAAATAAAAGGTATATTACCAGTTACAATCTCAAAGTATGTTTGAACACTTAAACAACTTTACAGATAACACGAAACGAAACGTTTAACTTTGCTTTACAAGAAGTCGCATTAGAATTTACGATAACATGGCAAAAGTAATTTTTATTTCTATGTTTTCAAGCACACTTATTAAATAAAACACTTTTTCGAAGGGTTTAAATGTGTTTTTAACACTTTCATATATAATTCTATGTTGCGGATCCTTTACAGACTCTGTTCTGAAGAGTATTATTTTAATTAATTTTGATGAGCTTGGAAGAACAAACAAACCATAAAGTTTTTAGAAGGTAGCTCGTCCAAATTAATTAAAAATCATACTCTTGAGAACGGAGCCAAATTTATTTTGGATTCCATACAAAAATGATTGAAACTACATTTGTCATATATTTATAACTACCTTTATAGAACATAAAACGTCAAAACAAGCCCAAACCGACAAGTTAAGTATCAAGTATTCAGTACCCTCAAAAATGAGTCGTCCCACAAGTGTTTCTTAAAAACTTTCTGTGAAGATATTACATATTTCTTTGTATTATACACAAGTCTTGTTTGTTTCCCAATAAAGACTTGGCGTGGGAAGCGTCGTGAGGTTTATATTCTCTACAATACAAAGATTTTCAAAAGATTTCTGTCTTTAGAAACAACTTTGTGGCTTTGAAAAGGTTAAACAGCGGTAAGATAATTCCCTGTGTGACGGAAAGTGTCGTCAAAAGTTTTAAAGTTTCATAGAGGACATCAATATCTACAAAAAACGTCCGCAATACCATATGTCTAACTATTACAGTTATGTCACAACTAAAGGTTCCCTGCGGTTACACTCGCGTTAATTTGAGGAAAAAGGTTATAGTGAAACTTAAAAGATGGGCATATGCTTTCGTAGACTTTTTCATAAAACTTTTTTACTCATCATACGTGATTTTGGTGTATTGAATATTTTTACCGGTTTTTGCAACATTTCACATCGATGATCCGCTTCTACTGGTCGTTCTCCTACCGCTGGTTAAACCTTCCTCAATCAATGCACTATCTAACACAAACATATTTTTTTCAAATCGGACCATTAATTCCCGA